ATGTATAATGTTTATGTTGATTGATATGAGTGATGCTTATGAATGTTTTGATATGTATGAAGGGATCCATGCTTTTGATATGTGAACCATGTTGGTTGTAACACTTAGTATCACATACTTTGTGTCAAAGTACGCATGTTGAAGCTCTAAGTTGGAGTATAAGGGTAGGTCAGTGTAGACTAAATGTTCCAGTGCTAAGAACGCAAAAGACTCAGAAGAAGTTGTCTGAATTCCCTCTTCTTTAAATATTTGCCGAATGGCTTGTGTGACAAAAGATTTCAAGCGGTTGAGGGTCAAAACATTTGTAATGTGTATGCCTTCTTATAATAGCATTTCCTTCAGTACCTAGTCATCCACTTTGAAAGAGTGAAGCTTGGCCCCATAGTCATAATAGTCAACGGTACGTTTACCCCTGGTTGTCTTGATACGAATTTTTATCTCTCTTGTTGTAATGGGCTTGCTGAGAGTAAAAATCCTTCTTCTTACCAAGAGACAAATATGTTTGGTGACTTAGCGAGTAACTAAATGAGGCAGGAGATGATGCAATGGGTGTCTGAATGGCCAATATCTCCTCACTTGGTAGAACTTGACTTCCATTTCCCATTTGTTGATAGGGGTTAACCATATGGGGGTTCCCTTGGTATGTCCTTGCTTCGGCGGAGGCGTGGTTGTAAGCATGTGCCATTACCTCAGAGTAAGTCTTCCAAGTGTAGCATTAATTATGTACTTGAAGAAACAATCACGTAGGCCTGCCGTGAAGGCCTTGAGGGCGATTTTATCATCTGCCTTAGCACAACGAGAATACTCATGGCTGAAGCGACCGACATACTCTTGTAGTGACTCGTCCGGCTTCTGGTGAATAATGTACAAGTCATCTGCATAATGCAAGTGATCGGTCTGGAAGATGTGTTGAGAGACAAACAATTTCCTCAATTCCTCAAATGAGTCTACTGTCTCAGGTGGAAGACGGCAATACCAGTTTAGAGCTCCGCCAGAGAGGATGGAGGGGAAGAGAAGACATCGCTCTTGGTCGATGTGCATCTGATATGCCATGGTGGACTCAAAGAAGTTATCCCTTCCAGTATAGAGTTGTAAACCAAGTTTTTGTTTTATCTTCGCTTGAAGGAGGTGTCGAGGATCTTTCTTGTGAGAGGGCCAGGCCTGGGTTGGTTTCAGTTAGGTATCTTAACCTGACATTTGGCCTTCAACTTATTTACTTCCTCAAGGAGCTGTAGGGCAATGGGGTCATGAGTGGAGTTATGTACCACTAGAATTTTCTTTCGTAAGTCTCAATCGCCTTTTGGAAGTAGGAAAGTTTAAGCATGGGCGTGTGGTTTTTTCTTGGACTCGCCGTACTAACTTCTAGGGCGAGTTTGTCGGAATACCTCAGAGTCCCCCGTACCTTCATGTTTCTCTGGGACCTATCGTTCATTCCCTGGATTGGCAGCTGGCCTAGGTCGTGGGAGGGGGACCGAGTCTTTCAGAAACCCTTGGGTCATTAATCTTCGAGCATATATGGAGGGGATTCTCTCGATGTTGCTTTAGGAAGTCTCAGCAGTCACGATAAATGGCTTTCGATCATTCCAACCCTTCTGCAATGTCCTGCTTTGGGTCGAAGCAGCTAGGTTGAGAGAAGTCTCATGTTGATCAATGTTTTGATGATTAGCACGCTCTTTATCAGGGATACCCATGTTGAAGGAAGGTGACCCTCTGTGTTGGGGGCACCCAGATGATGGTTGATGTCTGCAGGGGCAACGAGCTCGCGTGTTTGAGTACACCTAATTTTGTGGAGCGTCTGAAAGAGCTTCTCATACTACTCCTGGAGGACCTCATTCTTCATTGCTATCTTGTTGTTTTGAGCTTCTAGCTCATCGACTTTTACTTGAAGAGCAACCATCTTTCCTTCCTTATTTCGTTGCTTCGCACTAAGTGCAAGAGGGGTGTCATTCTGTGTGCTGTGGCTTCCTTCGCTCCTTATGTTAGAGAGGGATGTCTGGTCAAAAGAGAGTGTACGGATGGTGGAAACCAGCTTGACAAAGCTGAAGAGAGTGGGAATAAGTGTCGTTCCCACAAACGGCGCCAAATGTTGATCCACAAAATCAGTGAGGACTTTGGTACCACAGAAAATGTTAAGTTTGTGACTTTCACTAGATTGCTCCGGTCACTAGTGTGAATAAGTATGTAAATGGATAGGGACAGGGAAGCAAACACAAGATGTACGTGGTTCACCCAAATTGGCTACGTCCATGGAGTAGAAGAGTTCTCATTAATTGTGAAGGGTTTACACAAGTACATAGGTTCAAGCTCTTCTTTAGTGAGTACTAGTGAATGATTTAGTACAAATGACATTAGGAAATATTGTGAGAGAATGATCTCTATTTATAGAAGAGAGTTTCTAATCTCATTCTGATATTGACACGTGTCGTGTTGTGATTGGCTTCTGATGTTGACACGTGTCGCGCTATGATTGGCTTATGATGTCAACACGTGTCGCGCTGTGATTGGCCTCCTGGTTGGAGGGAAACTCTTCTGGGTCCTTGACGGTATACGTTGACCGGTGCTCAGTAGTTTCGGGATTGGTCAATTATGGTACAAACACATTTTAAATCGTCCTTTTATCTGGACTATGGTTAATAGTTATTTATATTTATCCATCTCTTCTTGTAGGAAAGAAAAAAGGCGGATGCTTACTTTTGCTGCATTGTGCACACATGAATATGACTGCAAAATTAGTCACTACCAAGGTAAAAGACCATTAGTGTTTCTTTATTCCTGTAGCGTACACACGCATGCATATATATATGCGTTTTATTTATTTATTTAAGCTTTTCAATTCTTTTATCAAACATCAATAACAATGTTGAAGTTATATATATATATATATATATATCTTATTATTGCATCTTTCTTCTTCATGATAATTTTCATCACTTTCTTTCCACATTATCCCACTTAATCATCTCTCTTTATAAAAAGTTTCAATAGTGAGATGCAAATTTGAAAAGAATATTGTAAGGGTAAGTAGCATGGAGTTTCATTTTCTTATGAATCACCAAAATCAACATAAAAAAAATATAAAAAAAAAGAATAAGTAGCATGGAATTTTATCTACCAAGATACGAAAAGAGAATAAGTAGCATGGAGTTTCCTTTTTCTTATGAATCAAATCCCAGTTGTTTATATTATGCAAATGCAAGACAAGTTGCTTCTAAGTTCTAATAATGATATTGGTGGTTGGTGGAGATCATATTATTGTTATGAAGTGTCTACCGTTAAGATGTGATTGCCAAAAGTTGATGTTGCTGCCTTGCTTATTAGTTTGAAGTGTCTTTCAAAGATTCATAAATTAGACCCTCAAGACAGAATCATACAATAGTACATGCTTATAGATGCATGTTTTTGTATTCTATCAAACATAGAGTAAATTTTCTTTTATTCTTGGTTTGGATTAAATGTATACAAGTGTATATATGATTTTTATTTTATTTAAAATGTACTACTATTACTCCCTTGTTTACTAATGTATTATTGCATAAGAGTAAAAAATACTGCAAAGTAACTTCTCATTCAACGTTGTCCAACACAATACTAAAATAAATTCTCTTAACATTGTATTTCTAAGTCTAATCCTAAGGTAAACCTTGAGTTGAAATCCGGTTGTGCTAAGATTTTGAAGAAATTGTGTGATAGTTGTGAACTATTTGTGCCCAAAATACGGGAAAAGAAAGGAAATTTAAGTAATTAAAGTAGAGTTCTAATCAATGGTATACGTAGCGCATGTCCTTTGAGGATAATAAAAAGGGCTTTCTAAATAGAATATGTCGATTCAACATATATAACTTAGGAGCGTGTAGCGATCGTAATGGCGTTTTGCACACACAATAGCTTGTGTAAAAAGGCTAGATGTTTTTGGTTCTTTTATAGTAACATATTCCTTGGTTCCAGAGTTAGTGCTTACTACTTCTAATCAAAAGGAAAAAAAAAAAAAAAAACGCACGTTGAAGGTATCTATTAAAAAGATAGGAGGAATGATGGGTGTTCGCATCTCACAAGTTCGTTGGAAAAATGAGTTAGTCATCCAAAATAAAAAACTTTGGATAGGCAAATAAGAAAACAACTAAAGCAACCTATTTTAGGGGCGCATAGCGTCCGTGATGAACAAATACCTCTCGCATGCACGTGAGCGCGTGTGAAGAGACTAGTAGGAAGTAAAGTGAGAGTCAAATCTTGTTTCAGGCGGCAGATGAGTAGAAAGAATAAATTTCTCTATCAAACCAAGTGTAGAATTAATGAATAAATTTCTCTACTCTTTTTAATTGATTTGGGCTACAATTAAGCTCCAACATGTGTTACTTTAGCTTCGTGATCCTGATACTTGAACATTGACTTGAGACATTTTCTCTACCCTTTCTTATTTTAAAAATAAAGGGCGCACCGCATCTTTGAACCGACAAATATGTTTCGGCTACCCTAACTTCCTCTGTCCATCGGAGCCAACAAAGGGTACTTCGCGGTCGTGCAATGATGAAACAAGGTGGTAAATAAGAAGGCTAAGTGTTGGTGTGATTAGGGACATCATGACTTGGTTAGTAAAATGGCGTATAAACCCTATATATTGGGACATCATTTTCCTTCTGCTCTTTTTCATTGATCTTGTTGAGCTTTTTTCACGTCAACCAATTTAACACCAGTAAATAAGAAAATTAAGAGCAAGTGGATTAATCTATCAAAACAAGGGTAGAATGAATAAATTCCTCTACTCCTTTTTCATGGTTTGGGCTACAATTAAAATCTAGAACATGTTCCTCATCGTCATGGCGCTTGATATTGTTACTAACTTGATTCATTTTGTTTACCTTTCTTATCCTGAAAAATTAAGAGCAATATCGGTCCTTAAACCCTAGCCGTATCCACATTATACCAATACCCTCTCCAATTTTCTACATACAGACAGTAAAAATGGCAAGAATAAGTAGGAGATCATGGAATAGCATTTCTAGACCTTAATTTTCTTTCCTGCATATATAATATGAATAAAGTTTAATTTACTAATTATCAAATGAGTACTAGAGTACCCATATATATGAATTAATCCTACTACCATAATTTACAATTTTACAACCATTTTCCTTTTTTTTTCCTTTTTTTTTTTGCGTGTTTTCTGTAAACTAGTCTCCCTTACTCAATCTTATAAGCATGAAGAAACATGCAGAAGTCAGAAGATGTTGAGTTATTACTTGTCTGGGTTGAATAATAAGCACTGCTATTATCACTGTTTATGCTGCCGTTGCCATCTCTGTCGTGATCGCTCTCTGATTCCGGTGCCCCTGGCTTGAAAATAAACAGCCCATGCCCCGTCCCCGGGCTGCTGAAAAGCCAATCGTGCACGTCCCAGAAAACTTGCACCGGTTGCATGTTCACCTGCACGGTCTGATTCCCTCTGAATTTCCACTGCAAATTCTTGACATGAATCAACACAATCCCGTCTACACTGATCCACATTTCTGGGTCTTTCAGGCCGGACGTTGAGCTCTCCACCACAATGTCATGCTCTTTTCTCTTCTCATCAAACTTCACTCTTGTGGCAAAACTTTTCTTGGCAAACACGTTTTCTTTTTTGTAGTATAAAAGTGCCTCCACAAGGGCTGGTCTGGATTTTGTTCTCTTGTATGCCTTTTTCTTCATGTCTCCCAATAACAACACAACCTCCTCATCGCAAACAAGAGCAACATAAAAGTCGGAACACGGTTCTGGGCCGCCGCCAAATTTCGCAGACCGAAGATCCCAATAAACCTCCACTTGATTCCCTTCGAACTCGAATGACTTGTACCCTTTTTTGCTCCAAAAATGCCATGGCTTTAGGTCGAATTTGCACGTATAATGAAACTCGCCGTCTAAGCTATCAATCCGAATGCTGAGGGAATGGTTCATGAGGTTCTTACACCAGATGATCGTCACCTTCCGCCAAAATGTCGCAATATTGGCAAGGAAGACGCAAGTCACTGTGCTTTGTGCGGTTTTCGTTGTCACAGGGTCGTCTGTGATCTTCTCTGCAAATGGCGGAGACTCATGAAATGATTTACCTCGCATCGATCGACTCAAAGACTGCATCTTTGCAAAATTTGTAAAATTTTGGGGGTAGCAATCATTGAATAGGTATAGGTAAAAAGTTTCACATTGATTTGGTTTTTTTTCTTTTCAATTGTTTGAAATCTAATACTAATGAGAATGAAGGGTTGGAGATTTGGAACTTACTACTTAGCCTCTTGGGATATTTGGGAATCTTGGTGCCTTTGGCAATGGCCTATTGACATGGATGGAGATTGATGAGAAACTGGTTTGACAGAGAAGAGAGAGAGAGAGAGAGAACGCAAGAGGCTATGACAGTTTGTTCCGTGGAGAAAAACTCTCCTTTTTAGAGGCTATAATCTAAAGAGGTTGCCGAAACAGAAGGGTTAACAAAAACACATTTCAACAAGACCTTTTACTATTTACAGCTTCCTTCTTGTCAATTTGCTCACTTGGAGACAGTTAACATTGAATTGAAAAAATCAATGGAAGTCAGAACTGCCAACCATGAAATCTGAACTGCCTTTTGTAGATTGGCATTTGATCTTTGTATTTTTTCGATTGTTCTATCGTACATCGCCTTTCTATCTCAAATTTGAGATCCTTGTTTGCTTTCTGTTTTCTGGTTTTTCTACCGAGGAAAAACTGTTTTTTGGTTTGGCATTGTTGTACTTCGAAAAAAAACTGTTTCTGCTGTGCTGTGAGAATAAGCATCTGATTGTTTGGTAAACTTTTTGGCAGGAAAAGTAAATTGATTAAGAAATTTTATTTTTATTAGACAAACGATCTACATAAATTTATTTAATCATAATTTCAATATATTTTTTAAGTGGTTTATTAACACCTTATAATTTGTCGAATACACCCTAACGAATTTTTAATATCAAATGACTTAACTCTACATATTAAGGGAGAGGGGAAAAGTGGCAAATAATTTATAATACCAAATGTTGTCCTTCCTTTTTGGGAACTTCAAAACATTAAAATTGATTAGTTAAGGTTAAACTGGTAATTTCATAAACCTACTTAGTGGGTAGTTACTTTCATTTGTTATTTTTAATTAAAAAATAGATCGAACAAAAACAAAAGGCCAGTTAGAACAAGCGTAGGCTATATCTGGTGCTTTTTGAAGTGTTTTATGCAAACAAAAAACATATATTTTATGCTTGCTTTAAAAAGCACTTTAAGTTCTTTTGAAACACAAAGTCAAGTTCAATAAAAGCGTTTTCAGTTCTTTTAAACACTCTTCCAAACAAGTTATTACTACTTTTATTTTAACAAACGATATTATCTACACTAAGGGGTGGGGGATAGGCTAAGCCTCACAATGGATTAGCAATAACGTGGTTCAAATTTGCCTATGACAATAATCAAATCTAAGACCTCTCACTTACCAGTGAAGAGTAATACCATTAGACCATAATATTAAGTGGCAATAAGCCATTACTACTTATAGTCTACTTTTCATGTGGGCGTACTCTCTATCCATTTTCATCTAAAATTTTGTGGAGAAGTAAGCATTTGGTCAAAATTTTATACCTCTATCAAGATCGCAATGAAATTATAGTAAGTATGAACAACGAAACCTGGTAGTCCACAATGCATCTAGTAGTTTTTGTACCTGCTCCTCCCTTGCTATGACGAGTACTTTACTTTATATGAATTTTGCCCTAAAAAGTACAAAATGAAAAAAAAATATTGTAGATGAGAAATACCTAAATCTTCAAATTCCAACTTAATATACTTGAACTAATAAATATCTTACTTTAATCGAAGTCTAGATCACTCTATACACTTGAATTGTCTCAGTGCTTTGGAAAATTCTCTTCAATTGGCATGAAATTAATAATTAGGGTTTGATTGTGTTTGTGGAAAAAAAGATACGAGTGGAGAGATACGAAGAAAGGGAAGAGGAGAATAAAAGCGGCTGAGAAACAATTTGTGGTGGATGAGACCTTAAGTAATATATAATTTATAATTGTTTTAGGGCTCACTAAAGTATTATTAAAGGGTGCTACTAAAACCACCAAATTGTCTTATTTTTCCACTACCTTTTAATCAAAATGTTGATCACATATGTATCTTTTTAGCAAAAGACTTTTAAATCTATATTTATAAATTGGTTATAATTTTAATTAAATAAACTAAAAGGGAATAAAGAAAAACTAAAACTAAATAAAAGAATAATAAATCCACGATGGGCCCAAGACCTTCAATTCCCCAATCATCCATCACCCTACCTAGCCACAAGCACCACTCCATTCTTCCTTTGAATTTCAGTACTACCACCTCCACCCTCTCTTCCTATTCCTCATAGATGAACAATGACGACAACCCAGATTTCCAAATCAAAAAATACCCAATTCCAATTGGAATAGAAATCAATTTGGAGCAATCTGTCTTTGTATTAGAGAGCAATCTCTCTTGTGTTTCTCTCTCTTCTTTCCCTATGCTTCTCTCTTTCTCCCCCTTCCATTTCTCACTCTTTCCTAAGGAGATGCCGCCAAGCAGGTGTCAAAGGTTTTGGTTTTTTATGGGAGATGGGAAGAGATTCTGCCATTTTGGTGTAAGCTAGGTAGGCAATTAAGGAAGCATGATGGTTTTCTTTAAAAACGTATTAATATTATTCTTTGAAAAAAGAAACATTACAGGTTATTTTAAGACTAATGGTAGGTGGAGAAATAATTTTTTAATTTTTTTTTGTGGTGGGTGAAATTATAATGTGAGTATAAAAATAGGACAATAGGATGAATTTATCAGAACTCTTATTAAATTGCTTAGAAAAAAAAAAGTGGGTAAGATTTTTTTTTTTTTAAAAGTGAGAAAGTTAGAAAAGAGGCAATTGTATTTGTAAAATTGTAAGTCCCACTTGAACTTTTTTCTTTTTCGGTCCCATATAGTAATGCTATATAATAGATAGTAAAATAATTTTGAGGCCCTCAAATTTTGAGACCTTTTTCGGTTGAACACTTTGCTCCCCAAAAGACGACCCTGGCCACAAGTCCTCAACAAAAATCAACACACATGACACCGCTTTCATGGGCCTCATGGCGTTACTTTCGGGAACAAACTGAAAGGACCAAAATACCAAAAGGCTCAACAGATCCATAAGCCTAAATCTCTCTTCTATAAAACAAATAAATAACTGTTGTACTTCTCGGGAAAGGTGTCTGCTCTCTCATGGGGTTTTGATCACTGGGTAGTCGGACTACCATAGTCCTTCTTCTTTCCACCAACATTGACTTGTTTTACTTGAAATCTGCAACTAAGCAAAAATGAAGAGGTGGATTGAGCACTACAACAGCTCCTAAGAGATACTGCTTGTTGGGAAAGGTGACTTCTCGTTTTCTGCTTGCTTGGCTCGAGCTTTTGGATGTGCTACTAACATGGTGGCCAGTTCTCTTGAATCCCAAGGTAACATTTCTCAAAGCCTAATCTTTTATGCATATGGGTACTCACTAGATGTGCTACTAACATGGTGGCCACTTCTCTAAAACAGTTGATGCTTCATGCATGGATATCCACTTCATTTCACACGCATGAATGTGACTGCAAAATCAGAGCGCTGTTTTAATATTAGTAACTACCAAAGGTAAAAGACTCTTGTTATTTCTTTATTCCTAACTCTGCCAAAGGCATGCATATATATGATTTTTTATTTTATCAAGTTTTTTTTTTTTTATCAAACATCTATAGCAATATTTGAAGTTATATCAAACGTTTTTTCTTAGACGATATTATTGCATGTTTCTTCTTCATGATAATTTTCTTAAACGTTTAATCATCTTTCTCTGTATAACAAGTTTCAATGCTGAGATATAAATTTGAAAAGAAAAAAAAAACAAACAAACAACCATGTCTTTGCATTTTTAGATGTCTAACAATTCCTTAATTTAGTTTTTTTTTTGTGTCGTGGTTTTTTGCAGATCAATACACAACGATCTACATTATGATTTGGATATAATTGCAAACATGAATGTACCACAATACATTGGGTGAACAAACATATTTTTGGTTCTTCCAATTTATTTTTTTCATTGCTCGACAAAATGTATTTAATTATGTTGTATACATTTTTAAAATAAAGGAAGAAACAAAAATTGTCTTCTTTTCATTTGTTCTGACATCTTATCTATTATTTTCCTTCAACTGAAGACTCTATAATTTTAGGCACTAGAAGAAACAAGAGCAACAAATTCTATATAAAAAAAAAATGTAGTATGATGATGTTGATGATATGCCATGTTCAATGACAACCCTAATGCCCTAATGATCTCAATGATGTTGATGATATGCCATGTTCAATGACAACCCTAATGCCCTAATGATCTCAATCATTTGAATTTTTTTTTACAGCCCTCTCAACCAAATATATATTCTTAGGTAAATAAAAGGCCTTTAACAAAAGAAGAAATCGGTAGAGAAATTACGTATTATGGATTAATCTAAAGTAAACGATAGAGAGACATAGAGCAAGATTACAAATAAATGTCGTATATTTAAAAGAATTTTAGGGGCGCGTAGCACCTTGATTAATGAAACTCTATATACCGCACGTAGCGCGTCGGGATGTAAAAAAAACCTTTCGCACTCGCAAGGCACGTGTAGAAAGGCTAGTTTAATCATAATTTCAATATATTTTTTAAGTGGTTTATTGACACCTATAATTTGTCGAATAAACTCCACTGAATTTTTAATATCAAATGACTTAACTCTACATATTAAGGGAGAGGGGAGGAGTGGCAAATCATTTATAACACCAAATTTTGTCCTTCCTTATTTGGAACTTTAAAACATTAAAATTGATTAGTTAAAGGTTAAACTAGTAAGTTCATAAACCCAATATCTTAAAATTTTGTCCTTCCTTATTAGTGGGTAGTTACTTTCATTTGTTATTTTTGATTAAAAAATAGATCCAACAAAAAAAATAAAGGTCAATTGGAACATGCGTAGGCTATATTTGGTGCTTCTTGAAGTGCTTTATGCAAGAAACATATATTTTATGTTTGCTTTAAAAAGCACCTTAAGTTCTTTTGAAAGAAAATCAATTTCACTAAAAGCGTTTTCAGTCATTTTAAACACCCTTCCAAAAGAGTCATTACTACTTTTTTTTTAACAAATGATATTATCTACACTAAGGGGGTGGGGGAGTAGGCTAAGTCTCACAATGGATTAGCAATAATGTGGTTTAAACCTCTCACTTACCAGTGAAGAGAAATACCATTAGACCATAATATTAAGTGCCACCAAGCCATTACCACTTATAGTCTACTTTTCATGTGGGCGTACTCTTTGTCCATTTTCATCTAAAATTTTGTGGAGAAGT